CATTGTATTTGATTTTATTTATTACCTATATAAAATTATTCAAATGGCCTCTCAAAAATACCAAATCTCAAAAAATGTCGATATTACCTATACCAATATATACTACCGATATGTGATAAATATCTATAAAGCGTTTTAAATAATTTTTTTGAGATTTGGTATTTTTGAGAGGCCCTTTGAATAATTTGCGTTCTGGGCCCTTTAGATCCCAGGCCGACAATGGTAATATTATAATGTAGACTGTAGTGCCTACAGTATGCTAAAAGTCGGTCTTATATTATATACAAGTGACCTATTGACCTCGTTATTGTAAAATTTATGACGTGATTCGCACTTTGCGAATAACAACAATTAATGCTGTTATTATTGCACAATATGATGTTACTTTTTAATTTTTATACAATATTAAATTATATTCAACAAATATGTTTTGTTTCTTATTATTATTATACCTATCATAATATAGAAATTAAAACTTAATTTTAGTAGAATTATTCCAAATGGAACCCATAAGACAATCAAGGGGAAAAGCCCGTGGATATTCTCAATTACCAAAAAAAATTAGTTACAATTTTACTTTTATTTTGTCCAGTCTAATAATTTCAGACGTTTATTTGAGTTATTTTAAAATGTTTGTAACTTCTCAACTTTTCTTGTAGGTAGAAAAAATGCTCTGACCATAAACTTCGATGCCCGATGTAAGTTTTTGGAAGCAGATTGGATCTAGTTGGTTGACCAACTAGAACCAACTTGGTTCATTTAAGAGGTTGAAATTGAAAATGCTCAATGCTTTTTAAATAAATTGGAGAAAAAAATGAATATTTATTAAAATTGTTTGGTTACACCGTCATCACTTGGATTGTATTTGATTAATTAAATTTTTTTTTTCTATAAAAATTAATTAAAAATTATTTATCTGGTCAAAAAGCTTAAAAATCTAATACGCAAGTTTTTACTATAGCCAAAATATTAACGATACATATATATTTACCATCATCATGGTTATTTTTTATAAGCATTTAAAGTTCAAATGTCGTCAAAACCACAGTTAATTTGTATTTTGTATATGAAATTTACGTCTTATTGCTTAGTTGACAGTTGAAACTTGATAAATATTTTTTTTTAAAGTAATAATACGTAATTTAAATTTATTTTCCCCCTTCCACTATTCTTTGTGGATGTCCTACTTCAGGACAATAATAAAGGCATTCACGACATCACATCGCTACTCAACACTAATGTTAAGATCGAGAAACCGCATAAAAAGCTCAGCCCTCCGCAATATCACAATTGCCAATTATACGGACACACGAAAAACGGTTGCCACCATAAATCTAGATGCGTTAAATGCGGTGAAAATCAACCCACATAAGACTGTACCAATGACTGCAACAGTCCCGCCAAATGCGCCCTATGCAGTGGGGACCACACCGACAATTTTAAGGGTTGCCCAGTATACAGGGCAGCTTTCAAAAAAGCTGCTCCAAAAACTCCTCCAGCTAAGCACCCTAAATTCAAAGCTCACTCCATAGCAAAATCTTACGCAGAAGCCACCAAACAACAAAAAAAACTCACATAAAGAAAAATTCACCGACACTTGTTCCAGGTTTATATCTATTTTAAGCCCATTAATCAATCCTCTTATCTCCCTACTCTCCACAGTACTAAATATTCTCATTGCCAAAAGCATTATTTCCCCATAATTACATTCGTCCGGATTCCCGATTAAACCTATACATTAAATCACATATACCATAGTTAGATAAACTAATAGCTAATATTTATATTAAATATATACATTATATTAATTTAAGCTACATTGCAATAATACTAAGTGTATTGAAGCAATTAATTTGAATTAATGAAAAAAATTTTGGTTTATTTTATTGATAGCTAGACGGCAGGGAGTGCCTGAGCTGCCTGACATCAATTATTTTTTCAACTATGTTTGAATTCTCAAAGGTATTACTGCAATGGTGTCACCACTGTCTTCAATTTCATCTTTACTATAAATGTTCAAAAATGTTTACATTTTCAGAAACACTATAACCAATGTTACATTAGTTAAAAATTATTTGTTGCGAAAATTCTGAATGCTTAAAAGCATTTTTATCAGTGTAATTTTTGGTATAGACTTCTAGTCTTCATGGTATTACTATATATATTAGATATAAAATAATAATTCAAATATATCTCTTTTAAGATTTTTAATTAATTTGGTTATTACATGGTTTTTACCAATAAAAGAACCACTCAGGCTATAGTTCAAGTTATGCAACCAAATATTCCTAATAGAAAGAGGAGAACTTTGATTGTGCAATATTGTTTTTAATTTTACGATATCACAAATACAAAAAGAGTTCTTATAATATAAAAATTAAAAATTAATTAGTTTTGAGTTTTTCAAACTAAAATAACTTTTTTTTTTAGTTCTGATATCGGAAATATAAAAACAATGTTGTACAGTAAATTACTGTCAGTAATTATTGTTCTCATTTTTATGGTGTGGAAATTTGGTTTGCTTAGCTTAGAGTACCTACAGCCTAAGTAATGAGTGGTTCTTATACCCGTGCAAAACAGTTTTTCCTATGTTTTACATATGAAATACGGAGACAACACATGTTGGTGTGCCTATAGTGTCTTCTTAGCAATCATACAGACTTTTGGTTCATTGCTTTTTACATATTATTGTATACAAATTTAAAACTAACGTAATGCAGTTTATTATAGTATTAGAGTCTGTGCATCATAAATTATTCCAGGACCTCCTAAATTCACACCCAATGTGCGCCTATGATTATAAGGCCTTGTGGATATGGTTTGGCAACCCGAGCTGTAGGCAGAGCTTGAAACCAAAAAAAAATTTCTATTTTGATATTGTTGAATGATAACCGGATTTAATTTTTTAATTCTAATTTCGATTTTGAAAATCGGTTTTTAATTTTTCCGATTTTGATTTCGATATCAGTTCTTAACGGTTTTAACCGGTATTGAAAATAGAGTTGTAGACAGAATCCGGTGCCCCAAAGACGCGTGAGACGACGCACAGTCTGTGTTGCACTTGTGAATTTCTATAGAAAATAGTGGTTATAGGTTTACATTATAAATGATACAGGTATTTTGCATAAGCCATTTTACATCGGTGTATAATAATGAAACATATATATTTTATTCTGAATCGCACACAAAAGTACAACGGATGAACGTAGAACGGGCATATTACAATTTTATATAGTTTTGTATATCTCTGAAATATATATAATATAGTTACAATATATAAAGCAATAAAACCATACATTTTAAATGAAAAATATCTATTGGCTATTTGCCGATTTCTTTTTTCACAAACATGACATAATATAGTATTTTTAATTTGTATATAATAATATTATATACTATATAATAGATATTATATTGAACATTTTTTTTTAAAATACAAGGATGAAAACGATACTAAAAATAAGGTTTTTAAAATGTCAATACATAATTTTTTTTATTACATTGTGATATAACTACAGAAGGAATGAAACCGATGATAAGTTTCACTAACAATAATATTTCACTGCAGTGAAGCTAGAAAAAAAAAACAATTTTTAAATTTAACACATTTTTCCGTAAAGAAATTAACAAAACATTTTACAACAAGGCTATAATATAATATTATATAATTATGTCGTACAAACGGCATTTTGTTTTTAATATTTCTTAACCACTAAAATTATTAAGTAATAATTAGTAAAATAAATGCAATTTATTCTATATACTAATAAGGTTTACATTTAACTATTTAAGCATATACCAACCATACGACACACACGCACACACACACACACACACACACACACACGCAAACACACACAGAGATACAGTGGCGAATGGTTTCTTAGAGGCAGCCACTTGTGCGTTATTGAAGGGACGGGTATCTTAGTTGTAGTTTATTCCATTATGTAAATTCATTTTTAAAGGGTTATTTATAGGGGCTTAGTTTGTGGTTAATCAGAGTTGTTAAAAAAGAAAGTTTTTGGAACGCCTCTGAGAACGTTTGATTCACCACACCACTGAAGTGCACTCGTAAATTTATCATAATATTATAGTTAACTAACGTGAACATTTCAATAATAATATACATATATCGATAAAAGTAGGCTAAACGCATAAATGGCAAATACAATATTAGGTATTACTAAATAGTAAATTTAATACATCATAATAATATGTGTGTGCATAAAATATAATTTGTACAGAGTGTTCAGAATTCCATAAAATTAGTTGGACATCATATTATTAAGTAATGTGCTCTTGTGGGTTATAAGTCTATAATAGTTTGTACAAGCATAATATACAACTATATGACCCAAACCTCGAAATATTTTTAAACATGATATAAAATGTGTTTGTAAAAATATCGAACTGTTCGTGATTTGCAACCCGTGAATTGAGGGTTTTTGGGGGTCGTGGAAAACTTTAGACGTGCCTGGGGAACTTTTGTTTATGAATCCTATGCCTTGAATTTGTTAGTGTTCTTTTCATTTTTTGGTGTTATTACATAACAGGGGACCAACAAAATTTGCTACAATAGTTACTTGGGCCTAGACTTTAAGAGGATCTTTGTACCGGGCTTGGATAAATTGTCGATATCGAAACTCAACGAAAAAATAAAATAAAAGTATTAAGACAAATAATAATAAAAATAATAATAATAATAATAATAATAATAAAATAATAATAATAATAATAATAATAATAATAATAATAATTATAATAATAATAAAAATAATAATAATAATAATAATGAAACGAACACGCTCTCTTACGTATAATAATACTATACGCTATTTAAGTATTGATGTAGGTAACAATAATATACGTATAAGTTTAGGTAAAACAGAATAGAATATAGATGTTATAATTATTAACGGTTGCCAGATATTAAGAAAATCGTATTCACTTCGATGATTTTACGTTACATAGGTTACCTATAATATGGTTGATCGTGTCTTTCAAAATGGTAAACTAGCAATGAACATGTTCTCAATTAACGGAGGTGCGGGCACCAGGTCTTCCAGTTTCAGGTAGAATATCCGCTGGAGACCCTGCAGGCTGAGTGAACGCAACTCGGTCAGTTTTGCAAGCAGTCTCGAGAAGTAATAAGATTTGCGCTGCGAATCGGACATGCTGTAAGTGATGTGCTCCCTCAAAGAGTTGATGATTTTCATCTGGATCTGTTCGGTTTTTTTCGCTTCTCTGAGACCGTGTCGTTCTGAGGACAAAAATCACATACACACACAATTAAAACGTTTAAACACTAAACGATTGGGTAGTTACGCAGTCGAAAAGTGTACAATATTTGAACATCGTCATGAATAATTTACGTAGTACGTTTGTACGGACGATTTTCAATGGACAACGGTTCTATACTATAATATTAATTCATAAAAATTATTTATAGTTACCCAATTCCATTTAGGAATAGACAATGATAGGTACCTACTATATAGTATTAATTATATAATATATCATAGTATATTATTATGATGATGATTGATGACAGTTATATTTATTGAGAGCCTAAAGGACTTCTCGCCATGTACCTAAATGCAACGTTTAACAAATTTTCTATCAGCCTAACCAATTTTTGTATTGTAAGATTTAATATATTAAAGTGAAGTCACTCAAATATTGATCTTTAATAAAACTTGATAAGGTAAGAATATTATCTGTGTTTGTACGTTAGTTTTTACGATAATTTGATTTTTAATAAAATTCCGAGTATGTAAAATAAAGCAATTTAAAAATGCTCTTAACTTGCTTAAAAATTAAAACACCTTGAAAAACTGATGTACCCAGATAATATTTACAGATAATAGTTTTACCGTTAACTCAAACTTAACGGCGTTAAGTTTGATAATATTAAGTAAATATTTACTCTAATGTAGGTAGGTATTGCAGGAGTGGCACAACATTTATTCTGCTGGATGAAAATGTGCTATGTAACGATGGAGACAACGCTTGCAGGTGAGGTGTTGTTAAGTTTTCGTGTTTGTGGAGATTTCGAGTATAATATTTGTAAATGCGTATCATAATAATTAATAATATTGTCAGTTGGTACAATTTCGATTATTAAATGCGTAACGTTAAAATTGGGTAAATAAAAACTCTCCCTTACTGACAAAATTAAATTATGGCGAATTTGATGTGTGTCTTTAATAGAATAGGTACTGAGTGGCTATATATTATAAGGGTTTTGATTCCTATGTATATTTATTATACTATATTAATATTAGTGTTGATTCTAAACTTTAAATGTTTCGATATTTATGTTACATCAAACTACCTATATTATTATCTGATGTTTGGCCATATTTTCGTTAATATTGTTTCAGGTAATTTTTTATATCTTATACTCTGCAGGTAGGTACCTATACAACCTACATATAATAGTTTTTATTATTTTTGTTGGTCGTGTTCAATTTAAATATATTATATTGAGTTTCATGCATTAAATACAAGTGTAAATAAATAAACGTAAAAATATGTACGAAGATTCGCGGTTTATCGAAATAAAATTCACGTTGTTGAGTGTATACCTTTTAGAAAAAAATTATGATTTTTAACGATATTAATATATTGTCTGACGTTTCTCCAAGTGTTAAACGTTTCTCTTAACAATATTTTCCACGTTATATTAATATGTAGGTACACATAGTTATTATAGGCGCAATTTCGACTTTTGGCTTGGGGGGGGGGGGGCTCAATATATTAAAGGCAAGCAGACCATTGCAATATAGCATATTAAAATTGAATGTCTAGGTTTTTGGGGGGCCACGGCTAAGTTTAAAGGGGCTTAGCATCCCACCCCCAATTCGGGCCTATGATAGTCATACCCTAACTTTACCTATACCTAGCTTTTTGACTTCACAGAAGACGGCACGTGGAGTGTTGGTTACGGCTGTCAATTTTGCCAGCGACTCTGTGAAGTAAGAGATACTTTGTGTGTCTAAATCTAAATGTGTCATTTTAGTTCTTTGTTACATCTTTATGAGCCAAAAAAATAAATTTTATTACATTTGTTTTGGAAATAGGCAATAAGTAAAATCTAATTTTTAACAAATTTATATGGTAAAAACATTTAATTAGGTTAAGTAATTTATTTTTTTAAATTTTTTAAAATATCAATATTTTTTTGAATAGATACCTAATTTAATTTAAAACGTAATAACTTATTTAAAAATATCCTTTTTGGAAATTTCCTGACATAGGTATATATTTCATAATTTTTTTATTACCTATCCATATCATTTTCACAATTTTTGTCTTCCGTTTAATTAAAAAAATTTTTTTTTATATATTTATCAAGTCTTTCCGTTAAACTCTGTATATTATATTTATTTAACATAGAGTAATTATAACACTGCAGTATATACGTGATATTTATATTAAGGGTTTTGATGAAGTCATTTTTAATGGCTTTTTATATTTTAAATATATTTACTTACTTATATAGGTAAGTACTAATTCAAAGTAGCTATTAATAATAGTGGTCTAATATGCCAGTTACCTTTTTTGTTCTTTATATTATGATATTATAAACTTAAAAAAACTGTTTCATATTAAAAACTTCTGTGAAGAAAATTATAACCATATAGATAGGATACCAATTTTTTTCTGTTAAACGATAAACACTATAATATATTAGGAAATGTGTTACAACTTACAACACGGGGGCTGAGAGAAGTTAAAGAAATCTATATGATCAGATTTTTCATCCTGATATTCGGATTATTTATGTTTTCCCTTTTTTGTTTGAATATTAATACCATACACGTCATCAATCGAATAAAAATACCCAATCGTATATCCCGTCTTAAAAACGTCACTGTATAATATTATATAGGTAATATGATTGATATATTATATACCAACAACATATACTATAGCATTCAAAGATAAAAAAAAATGTATACCTGTGATCAGAGTTAAGGCACACAGGCAAGAGAAAGATGATATATCGATGTCCAGCGAGTGTAATGATTGACTGAAGTCCAATATAGCTTGTAGCCAATCGCCGAAACTCCGGTGGCACTGCTGTTTGTCCAGAACCACCCCATTACAAAATATTAGTTTCGTATCGGCGTATTTGGTCCTAGAGTAACCAAACAAGAAGTTAGTTTAATAACATAAACACAATCTATAATAAATTTATTTTTAAAATTTTTTATTTCCTAGATAGGTACTAAACACATTTAGAAAAATATACACTGTGATAATATGCAAATAATTTATTATTAAGGCTAAATAGTAAAATCTTAATGGGTCAAAAACCAATGAATAATGATAAATTAAAATAAATTATGAAAGCGCACGTTTACCATGATAAACCGCTCTTTCGATGGGTGTAGAGAGGGTGGTTTAGGCGCCCTACATATATATATATTTTAAGAGCATAAAAAATTTAATTGTTCATTTTGAACTTCCCATTTAAAATATAGATCAAAACCGAATAATTAATCAACACGTACCTGTACGCGAGACGGAGAACGAATAGTTCTAGAGATGCCGACTGAAATAATAAATCTTGGTCCGATTTGCACAAAGTCTTGAATCCTGGTATCTTTTCGGCGAAGTGTCTGATCACTTCCACGGACGTCGTGAGCAATCCGAAAAACTGTTGAATTTTTTCCGCTTCGGTGATCAGTGGTTCAAACGGTTTTGGCTCGTGATACTATAGAAAAAAAATCCATCAATACAGTTATAATATGACTTTACCTAGCTTCATAATATTGTATAACTTTCTCGAACACGTACATAATTATATATTATATTGTACAAGGCGATTATTTTATAGCGCTACCTTTTAACCGGCAACCTAAAATTCTGCGAGAACTTAACACTAACTTGCTGAGTCATAGAGTCGGTTGTGCTTAAAGAATACCCAGTGTTCTCATAATCACCCTGTACGTATAACATAATATTGTAGGCACCAACAGCTGTACATAATATCATAACGCTCGAACAACAACAATAATTATTGTTGTCACCCATACCATGTGTTCAAGTAGAAATGTTCACCACCCCCGCGTGATTTTCTATTCGACATTCAGTCTATATATTATTATTATTATTATAATACCCGTTGCGTGGGAATTTATGACCAGCGAGAGTGTATTGCATTATCATTTATTATTATTATTAACTAACAAGATTGAAAATAGATAGTAATATTACGTATAAATAATACAAAACACCTGTAGAGTTTTTAAAAATGTACCTACCCATATCGTAAATATTATTGAATTATAAAAATATAATATACGTTTTTGTTGAAATCAATGACAAAAAGTAAAAAAATTACTCTAGGTTATAAATAATACAGAATTATTATACGCTCACGGTTATATAGATATATTATCGTGGATTTTGTGACTATGATTTTGATTTGATCAATTTTTTCATAAAAACAAAACGCAAACAATTGTTGTGATTTATCTTCCGGCACAAAATATTGTGCTCATTAAACGTTATTTATACCGTTCCTATAGGTATGTGTAGGATCTCACAAAATTTAAAAATTCGAATATTAAAAAGCAAGTCATATAAAATATTTTTAACAAAGGTAAATATCACTTAAATATTATATTATATAAAATATCTTGAACAGTTTTAAAATATACTTCATATTAATTACTATTGTTTATTTACTATGTATATTTCTTATTTTTTTTACGTGGTACGAGGACTGGAGAAGGAACTGCTGTTGGCATTGCTTCTCCTCCGGTCCCCATCGTGTATTGATGTAAACAAAAACAAAATGTAAACGTTATAACAATATGCAACCGGTAGACTTTCCTTAGCATATTCAACCGATAGTGTTTCCTTAGCATACGCTGCCTATGTATATGCCTGCATTTATCTAGTTGAGAAATGCGTATGATCGTAATGCACTCGAAAATGTCGATGACAAAATACGCAAAATAAAATTTGCTAAATTTCAATATTTCTTATCAATTCGTAACACACAATTATACAACATAAATTCAGCTATTATTATTATTTTTTATGGTTACAAACGTGAATTATTATCGTCTATTAAATAATAATAATATTATAACCGCAATTAGATTTAAGCTGTTCACTAGGAGGTACCTTAGGAGCCTACCCTTTTTCATTCTACTATAACATCACGAATTAAACAGCTGAAAAAGTACCTCTATAGTTTATAGCAGGGGTCATCAATTAACATTTTTGAAGAGCCACATTAAGTGATTGGAAATTTTTCGTGGGCCATCAAAATTGCAGACGTCGTCGGTAAAAACCAATGAACAAAATGAAAAGTTACTATACTAGGACGTATACTATTAACAGTTATTACTTTTTTTTCTTGTCTGCGGACCGGGTATAATTAGTCGGCCATTAGCCGCCATTTTTAGGTGATCTCCGGTCTATAATATAAGTACCTATATGACATAATATGTTTATATCGAAATAAATCAATCGCGTATAGCGTAAAGCGAGCAAAGGACGTTTAGGCGAGACGCGTTCGAACTGAATACTTGGAGCAAATTAAATAGGTTTCGGGCATTTTAAAGTTTTAATTTTCGAAACGAGCGTTTGTCACCTGAGAGTAGTCCAGCGACGAGAAGTCCGGATTGGTGTCGACGTGGGCCCGGACGAGTGCTGTGATGAGCGATACCGGCGGGCTGGGCGGCGACCCGTGCGGCGACTTGGGCTTGGACGGCAACCGCCCGCGGCGACCCTTCAGTGAGTCTGTTCGCACCACCTCCTTCACCATACCCACCTGTAGGCACTTCTGAAATCGGCAGAACTGGCACCGATTCCGTCGGCGCTTGTCCACCGGACAGTTCTTGTCGGCCAGACAGACGTACTTGGAGCCCTTCTGCACGGTCCGCTTGAAAAATCCTAGACGACAGCCAAATGCAACGCGTATAAATAGGTATGAAATAATAATATTATTATACGGTCTTAACCCTCAAGAGTACGTCGTACCGATAGATAATAAAAGAATGGCCATGTTAATGCATACAACGCAAGAGGTCGAGGTCTTTAATTGGAAGAGAGAAAATCGATCTCTCACTCCCGCTGCAAGTGGACTTTTATATTTTTTGTTACATAATATTATGTATAAATGTATTGTAAGTTACAACAGGGACTGGAACCTTTTGAATTTATCGGTATCGGTTCCGGTACTGGTTCTCCAAAAATAGAAAATAACTGTTCCGGTTCGGTTCTGTTTTTTTTTTTGATAAAAAAATTAAAGGTATCGGTTCAAAATAATTTCGGTACCGGTTCGATATAATTTAGGTACCGAAAAGTATAATAATTTTAAATACGTATCCGGAATGCTGGTTTGATTAATAGTATGAGAAATATTGGAAAACTCATATGATCATACATAGTTATTATACACAAAACAGTAATACCATTAAATTATGATGAATAACATTAATTTATTTTTGAACCTAAAAGAACCTATTTAATTTAAAAATTCCGATTAGGTTCAGATATTTTATTAATTAAAATAAAGGTTTCGGTTCTGGTTCCAGTTCTTAATATTTTAATATAAAATTTTATTTTTTTTTAATATTACGTTTGTAACCTCAAATATTATAATTCCCGTGTGATTATACCATTCTTCTGTTATCTATGGTCGTACCCGTATTTATTGTCTCTGGCTTATGCACTTATGACATAGCAAATTTTAGTTCATATGTTTCAATAGTATGCTGTTATTGGTTTTGATATTCGAGTGATCTTACCTATTATTAAACTTAAAGGGACGAACATTATCTGTGTTCTCTCGATTGGGTTTTTACGATATTTTAATTTTCAAGTGAATTATAAGCAATTTCAAACTATTAATATTTACTTACTCATAACTCACTTAAAAATTAAAATATCGTAAAAAATCCATCTAGAGAACACGGGTAATGTTCTTAACTAAAAGTTTAATAATAGGTCAATTCACTCTAATATCAAAATTAATAGTATACTAATGCACTATAGTTGAAACTGGTGAACGAAAATTGGCTATGACGTACGTGTGTAAGACTGAGCAATATAATATTATGTGGGTACTAGTGTACGACTCGAGTCTTAAGAGAACTTTATACCCACGTGGTGGGTTCCTCCAACTTAGCAAATTTTAAGTTTAGAATATAATCCATTTAACTTTTTTATATTTAATATTATTATACAGTTAACTTATCTACTGTCAAATTTAAATTTAAGGCTATTATCTTGGGCACGCATTGCCAGTGCTCCATGGTCTGGCCAAAAGTTCATAATATAATATTTAAATAATTATTTAAGTCACATCATAATTTTATTAGATTTTATATGACTGTCTATTGAAATTTCTTAAAAAACAATGAACAAAAACTATTCAAATATTGACTATAGTACAAATTATAATAATATAATTTATAGTTATGTAATAGTTTCCTTCAATCGGCTTCCGCATGGATCACTTATTAGGTCATCACTCATCAGTAGGTAGTATTCGGAACATTTTTTTTGACAAAAACCAATTTTGTGTGAAACTTGATTTGTATGATTCACCCTTTTGAAGTAGACCATAACACACTTGTTAAAATCTATAGAAAACTTGAAACTTTTGGAGTACCTTCATTCCTTGAAAACTAATACGCTATTTCCGGGTTGAAAAAATTCATAATTGCCAAACCAACTGAGAACGATATCATAAAAATATTGAAAGAATAAATTGATCTGCTTCGACGTTATTGCATGACTACGTAGGAACTTTGTATGTCAATCATGACGATAGGGATAATAATAATAATAATAATAATAGCAGTGATCAGCCCATATATGGCGTGTGCAATATCTAATCACTGACGCAGAAAGAAAAATAAGTGAAAACAATTTGTTATATCTGTAAAATATTTTTAATTATCAGATAAAAATGTATACTTATGCCTATTATTGGATATTATATCAGGTTTCTAGAACCGTCCCTACTGGAGCTAAAGTTACAAATATGTTTTTGGGAGATACGAAGGAATCACTATTATGAAGCAGCCACACACTAAATTTACAATTTCGTACCGCACGAGTAAACAATGGTAGCCGGTAGGTGATACCATTGATTATGAATATTAGAATATTCAATGGTAATACACGTCTTACTTGACTGAATTATGGTCGTAGTAGTATTACCACAGCTTAAAAAAAATTGTATATATTTTACACGCGCTTACCTTTACATCCTTCGCACGTGCGCACCCCGTAATGCTGGCACGCGGCAGTGTCACCGCACACGGCACACAATTGGGACGGCGAAGACGGAGCAGTGGCCACGGCGGTGGCGTTCCTCTGCGGCATAATACAAGCGGCGTCTGGAGTAGGCGGTGAGCATTCGACGGGCACGGTCACCGATAGTGTGTTGATGCAGTGCCGTAATTTCGGCGACAAGGAATTGCTGTAAAGGGAATTAACAATGATTATCAGTAATAGTAATTACAATCACGATAACTTGACGGCGTTGAAAGACAGCTGATAGCAGAGAGAGAGAGAGAGAGAGAGAGAGAGAGAGAGACAGTGAGAGAGAGAGAGAAAGATGTCAAGGGCATGTCTGGAATTTTGTTTTTTAATAGGGATAGGTTTTTTTTTTGGCATTTTAGCTCTCCCCAAACATTTTTTAGCAACTTTTTTTTAAAAACATCATATAATAACTATGACTTTTATTAATTAATGCAAATCAGTACCTACCTACTTATTTTATTTATACCGAAATAATTGTTTCAAGCAATAATAAATATGCTATTATATTTCTTGTTGCTTAAGTATAACTAATGGATAATATATTACCTGCTATATAATTTTTTTTTTGTTTTTATAAAATAAACTGCGTAGTTGTGTTAACGTGTTTTATTTTATTTTGAGAAAACCATATGTTCTATGATACGACATACAAGATTGAAGATAAGCAATAGTAAACTATTGTATTTAAGTCGAATTATTATGATTGAATATGGTATTTGTGTATCAAGCTTTTATATTTGTTTCAAAAAGCAAAAGCTTTTAAAATATTTAGCTACATTATTGATTATATTATATTTATGACACAATAAATAGGTTTACCTATTACAGTATTATAACTGATAAATGATAATTTCAATAAGATATGATATATTCATATACACATCATAATAATAATAATAATTAAAAAAGTGAATAATATTATTATATAAAAATCATTATGATAGTTTTCGTCAAAAGTTTAAATCGACATTAAGCATATAGAAATAACAATACCTATGCAGCACATTAATTCACATACATCTAAATTGCATTTTTTTCTAAATATCTTCAAACATTGCTATCCACTCTGAAAATTCGTTTCATACATTAAAAAACTCAAAAATTTAACTTTCATTTTTATATTTCTTTTTTTTTTAAGATGTTTTTTGTATATTTTATTTAAATGGTTATTATTTGTTAACATTTTTACTATAGGCTATCTCGTTAAAAATAAAACAATGAAATAAATGTTGTTTATTTTGCTTCGTCAAAATTGTTATTACGTAGGTATTATTCTTTTACTTTACCTAAATCGTGATAAAGCCAAATTTAAATAATACTTTTTTTATGTTTTGTATCATAGCAATAATACCAATAAGTGCATGAAATCATTTTTTTAAGTCATTTTCTTGGTTTTTGGGACATTTAAATCCACTCTCTACACTTGAGTGATGGATTATATTACACAGTGAAACCTCTTGGTCGCTGAAATTATGTACCCATTCGGAGGCATCCCCTATTCAAAGGTGTCCATTAAATGAGGTGTCCTCTTTTTAAAGTTATACGTTATAGGGCGTTAGGACTGTATTTTGTATCTATACCTACATTTTTTTTTCCAGTGAATTAGCTTTAATAAAATGCGTAAATTATGTATGTGATATATTATAGTATATAATAATATTATATTATTGTATATTAAATTCTTACGACAAACACACACATATCTACTATTACTGCACAAATATTCATATAAACACTATGGGTTCAATTATGGTCTCAAACGCGATTCCCTGGTTAAATTATCCAAGTTATAAATGTATAATATAGCCATATAGCTATACATAATATAGGTAAGTACTGAATTCGCTACAGGAAACAGCCAATGACGAGTGTTATTGTAGGTGTTTGATTATTTTTCGTGAAAATGGTGAGAAGGGTTGATTTTTGTGCAAAGAATAAGAATTATTCTGCAGACAGAGGGTACGCGGAACAATGTTTGAGCTCGATCGGTTGCAATAAAAGAAAGAGTTAGGTCTGAGTTTAACCAGAGATTCAGATTGATTTGGTTTGTCTTGGGGTATGGGGTCTCGAAAAAATCATGGTTATGAGTACGTAACAAAAATTGTTCAACAGCTGTCTTAGTTTATAGCCATGGGAGAACCGGGAAACTCAGCGGAAAGTCTCACCGACCAAAAGCTCTGCAGAAAATATACCATCCCTACCAATCATTCCATACTATTCAATTTGTACTATTTATACAGAACAATTAATTGTGATGGATAGTTTACGCAGATCTATCTGTTCGATAATGTGTTTCTGATGCATATTATAATCAATATCGTACAATTAATATAATATTATGTATATTTATCGATTTATGGCGTTCAATTTATAAATATAAAACCAAAAGATTGTACCATATAAATATTAAATCAGCTGCCATTAGATAAAGCATAATCAAATAACATTTGATTATATACCCTTTATATTGGCATTAAATATATTTTATTGACACTAAATTACATGGAACATTCATTACCGCGTATATCTCGTTAGATGTTTTAATATTCATGCAAAGTTAATAATACTTTTGTTTGTAGAAAATGTATCTGTTGATAATATTCGTTTGATGATTTTAACCTTTTAAGTAATTGAGCTTAACGTTATTTTTGTAATTTTTGTAATTATTATAAATACATGTATATATATACATGTGGAAGAACTAATAATATAACAATATATTGTTATATTTGCTTCTACATGCATTATATATTATTTATATAAAATATATTATTCAATAGGTTTTTTTTCTATGATATTAAGTCTATCTTATATTGTATAGTTATTATCGAAAATTGGTAGTAGTGCGCCACTAGCGCTGCCATATTTTTCAAATTTTTTATTCTATCGAAAAAAATGTATTTATAATTGGTTAAAAATGCCTAAATGTGTATATTATTGTATTGCAATATCGCTTAATGAGTAAATATATTATAATACAGAATTATTCAAAATTATCCGATGCTTTACCCTTGGAACCCTATCTTGGTCACCTTATCTTACGATTCTTAAGTCATGTGACTACTTCTTTTGGTATAATGTTAAAGATAGTGTTTACATTACACCGTCATCAGCAACAACAGAAGAGCTAAACAATTACCAAAGTCAATTACAACGGATATGATGCATGGAATTAATTTCAGTTCCGACTAAATGTTGTTGGTATAACCAAGAAAATCTATGTACAACTACATACATTTTTGTATTAAAACTTCTTTCTTGAGGTGTGGGTGGAAAAAAAATTGTAACGAAAATAGGGATCAAAACCGTTTAAAAATTTTAACTGTTACGGTTTCGGTTTTTGAGAACGGTTTTCTACATTTTATGGTTGTGGTTTAGGTTCTAAGATCGGGTTTTCAATTTTTTTTAACGAAAATGAAACGACACGTTTGATTATTTATTTATTTTACAAGTCAAGCACGGTGGCGGCGGCGTGCACGTTTATTTTTATTATATTGATTTTTCTCACTCTCTCCCTAATTCGTAGGATTGGTACAGTAGGGTTAGGACGGTTAGGAACACGTGTATGTGTTGCACTACGAACCCGGGTGGTCCCCCATCCGAGAACTAGTGTCAGCGGTCGTTGCTTACTCTCAATCACGTCGGGTGATTGATTTCAGCCACTGCACTTCGCCGAGCCACACAACATTGGTTATATCCTATATAGGTAGGTACTATCAATTAAATTAAAAATATTATTACCTATTTTATTTGATGTATAATATTAACATTATTTTATATTATTAATCTAAACCTAAAAACTAAAAACATATAAGCATTTGAAATCGGATGATGAATCATTTTGAATAAAGCCTGTATTATAATATGTAACGAATAATGCTTGATAATAGAAAGCATCCTAAAATACAATAATTTTAAAAAAAGAAACGAGTTTTGCAATATTCAAATCCAGTAATGATTATTATCATTATTGTCATTGTTGTTATAAACGTACCTATTAAATAACGTTCATTGTCGGTATTTCTATACACATTGTTTGATTTGGAGGGGGACACGGTGGGACTGAGTACCCCTTCATTTTTAAAAAATATTTTATGGGGTACGCATTCTAATCATATACTATAGTCAATAAGAAATTTAAATCTTAAATGTTATTTGCGTTTTTGCATCTCCCTATTTTTTATTCAAGGCAAGCACTGTGTATATTATACAATAACTTAATAACACCTTTTAACCGATTGATAAACGGTAAGTGGAAAGCTAACTATTACATTGTGTCATAATACAATGTAGTGAGTAGGTACCCACGCAATAATTGTACGGTTATTAGTTGGTGAGTGGTAAGGCAGACCCGGGAAAAGTGATTTACTTAAGTGTATTTCAAAGTTACTTAGAGTTGTTAAAATTGTGTTATTTTTTCAGTATTAATTTTTTCTTGAATAAAATATTTTTTTTAACTAAGTTTTTACTAAATTATTACTATGTATGATTTATGAATATGATCGTTATCTTATTCGCAGCAGGTAATAACCAATAAAAACAACCATAATATCATGAAAAATAAACTAAGTTCCAAAACTATTTAGATTCATTAGTGGTAAACATAATCTGCATACATGCTTAATAATTTGTAAATTATTTTTAAAAAACAATTGGAATAAGAAAAATATTTTTTTTTTTAAAGATGATTGATATATTTCTTGTAATATCATTAAATTTGACATCATGTTGATATGTTACAGTCAGTCTTGTTAAGAATACTTTTTTTTAATTCAATAAATTTGATATCGTTAATTATAAATTCACAACTATATAATCTTATATAGAACTATTTAAATGAAATATGCAAAATACGTTATATCTACTTATAATATTTTAATAGGTAGGTTTAAGAATTTCAGATTCGGGGACGGCCAGGTTGGTTTTTCTGTTAGCTACTTATTTGATGAAATATATTATTAATATAAATTCTTAGAGCCATTTACCATTATAAGATATTAATTTAGAAACAAAATTTAAAACAGTACCAAGTTAAAACAGTAAAATATTGGTCGTTGGAGTAGAACAGTAAATCGATAAATAATATTAAGTGTTTTGGAATAAAAATACGAATACAAATTTAGAACTAAATAATTTAAAATACGTACATTAATTTACTGTCAACCATTATTTTAAAAGTTTTTGAAATATCAAAAAAAAATGTAAACTATTGTAACTAGTGTTACGTGCGTTCGAAAACTTAACAAGTCTGCAAGTTACAGTGTTATTAAATTGTATAAGTACACGACGGTTTTTATTCACCTTTATTCAAAATGTCATTCCTTTGCCCGGGTCTCCCCATAGATATTAAAGAATGGATAAGCCATTTATGCTTAACATACGGGAATGAACATGAAAATATTTTGAGGTTATAGAGGTCTTAACACAAATGTATATATATATAATTATTGTACATAATTTATGATAAGACCCTCTGCTAAAATGAGAAGCAATGATAAAAAACAGTCTTTCTCTCTTCCCATTCCGGCGACACTTCCCTCTATTTTATTAATATAGCCATGGCCTATCCATTCTTTAATATCTATGGGTCTCCCACACACGATGGATAAGTAGACACCAACATAGATACTACATGTACCAAATGTTGTGAAATTGAAATAGGTATTCAAATTTCGGCATAGACCCAAATCGCGGTATAGACCCAAATCACGGTAACTTTGCACGGTATAATCATAATGAATATTAAACAATATATATTACACTACGCACACTTCGTCACTTACAGCCGACGTGGATCGGTGTGATGTATTATGATAGAATATTATTATGGTACTGCTACGTGATATTGAACGCGATTCGACGAACGTCGACAACGATTGTATATTTTATTCGCAGTGTATGAGGGTTGTTTCCGGGATAATAGCTCGGAAAGCCATTTTCCCATGCACGGCGCGTACCTGCAGTATTATATAAAAATATATTAAGTGGGTAAAGCGAACGGATATCGAATTCAATTGTTGTCGAATTGTGGAATAAAAAAATAAACATTTCCAACTGATAATAATAATAAATAATAATATATGATAGGTATTATATTTTTGTAGGGATGTGTTTTACATTATACAGATATAACACGCATGTAGGTTAGTACAAATGTATATTAATATTTAGTATTTTTTATAATATTATTCAAGTCGGGTAAAAAAAATCTCAAAAAAATATTATTAAATGCTTTTATACTCTTATAATATACCAATATTTATCGAACAAATATCAATTAAAAACAGGCTATTACGTCACCCCTTCAAACTTGGACTAAATACTAAATATAATTTCTTCCCTCCCTCATCCACAAGTCAACAGACACGCCTAAGTACCTATAATATTGATATTTATAACATATGAATGAGGCGCAGTGTGTACAAATCTGATAACCAAGTAACCAACACCGCTGATACTATGGTATGTGCACTGTTAAGCGCAACAGATAATTACACCTCTTTTCACTCTTGTTTAAAATGTATAGGTTTCTTATTATTGCTCAGCATCGCTTCTGTACGAGCGAGAACCATCGTTTCTCTCTCAATTGTGTATTCTAAAAGTCCAAAAAGATTCCTATAAAGATAGCTGGATTGCGGTATCCATATATGCATTAGTTATACTAGTTATAGTATGTTTAATATCAACGACCTATACGATATTAAGATGTAATATACGAATAATAATAATAGTAATAAATTAGTGGTCAGAAGTTTTAGGAGCAGCATATTATTCTATATGCCCTCGATTTATGGTAGAAATCAAAGATATATACAATGGTGAGTTTAAAAATAAAAAATGCATATTTATATTTATATTTCGTTCATTTTATGGGAAAAATTCATATATTTCTTGATTTTCATAAGCATATTAATGCATAGGTATAATACCTATACAAATCACTTTACACTGCATACAAGTTTTTGTTAACACTTTCGGTGACACAAGTAGCTTGTGAAAGAAGCTTTTCTAAGTTAAAAATAATAAAATCTAGAATTCGTAATTCATTAAGTCAAGATCATCTTCAAGCATTTATGCTCATGGCTATCGAAAAAAAAACTCTTATAGAAGTCGGAAATGAAGAAGTCAAAGATAAACTTGCTAAGAGCAGCCCCTTAATGTCTAAACTTTTATTACATTAAAGGTTAATTTAATAAAGTCATATTTTTTTTTTAAATAAAAAATTGTCATTTTATAATTTTATATACATATATTTATACATACATACGAGTATTTAATATTATATAATATATTATATGTATATGTATTTTTTCTCTTGACAATTAGTTTTCATAACTATAATTCTTATTATGAAAAATGTATGTTTAGTTAAGTATTTATAGTTTTTCAAAAGCAATTTTTAAATAATTATGTAGTTTTCATATTATTATAAACTTTTAAATACTTTTTTATGTGTACCTTTAGCTTATCATTTGCATTTCTTTACTGAATAAATTAATAATAATAAAATAGTATTTTTTTTAATTTTGGGCCGAATATTCTGCTTCCCCGGGGCCGATTTTTTTCCCAGTCCGCCCCTGTAGGTATTTACTATTTTCTAAACCTGTGTATTTTAATGATAATATTAAATTTTTCCATGCATAATTCTCGTTTTTTAGCTCCTACAACTTCCAAGGCCTAATAATAATATATAATTTAAACCATGATATATACCTGTTGATTATATACAAAAGGGCTCAGCCCTTATACATATTCTAAAATAAATTTAAAATAAAATAATTTGGACTCACCTGGCGGACGGATCGGTGGCGGTCCTTAGTGCCAATACTGCGGCGACCGACGAAGTCCTCGAGCTCCTGTTGGCGTCCACCAAAGTGGCGTTGTTGACGACGTGCTGCAGCTGCTCCGTGGCCGTGTCAATCATCAGAGACGTGGCCGTTGGCCGCGGCGTCGGCGGTGGCTGAGGTACTTGAAGGGACTGTTGTTGTTGATGGTGGTGCTGGTGACTTACAGCTACGACGACGTGTTGCTGTTGTTGCTGTTGTTGCTGTTGATGGTGGTGTTGTTGTTGTTGGTGGTGGTGGTGGTGGTGATGCTGTGGATGATGTCGCTTGGGTGACATGACACCCTGCACGTGATCCAACATGGGTTCGAACACGGACGCTGTGCCACCTTGATCGGCGGTCGGCGAATCGGGCGGCTGCTGAGACGGCGGCGGCAACGCGCCCGGAAAGTGTTGAAAGTGATAGTTGAAATGTATGAGCGCCGGGGCCGGGGCCGGCGGTCCGTGATGGAGGTGCTGATGCTGCTGTCCGTTGTGTTGCTGCTGCTGGTGTTGTTGGACATGGTGTTGGTGTTGGAGCTGATGATGAACCGGCTGTTGCTGTGGCTGTGGCTGCTGCTGTTGCTGCTGCTGCTGCTGATGATGATGCTGCTGCTGCTGTTGGTGGAGGTGTATATGGGGGTGGTGGTGTTGCTGATGATAAGCGGCTGATGCGGTCATGGTCACCGCGGCCGCCGCAGCGGTCGGCGGACCGTAATCCTCTTCCATTTTGAACCCTACGCCCGCGCCCGTGGCGGCGTACGTCTCCTGGAAACTCGGCAACTGGAGGCCCGACGCACCATTGTGCTGGTGCTGTTGCTGGTGATTCGGTTGCTGTTGTTCGGCCGCGTCCGTCAGCACGGCATGCACGTCCGTCAGTGAGTCGATCTCCTCGTTCAGCGGCAGCTCGGAATACGAACCGGACAGCAGTTCGGCAAAACTGCTCGGCGTGAATGAGGTCTGCAACGTGACGAAATACGCACAAAACCGTGACGTTCGATTTAAAATGGAATATGATAGATTTAAAATAAGTAGGTATAGGTACTAATAGGTAGTTGTCAGTGGCGTATTTACGGGGGGGGGTCCATGGGGTCCGGACCCCTCCCATTGACTCGTGTCTCGTACATGTTAAATTTTGTGTTTTTACATGATTAAGAAAAACAAATTTTATCATACGATAAGAATGATTAATTTTTTGTCCCTTCAATTGTCAAAATGTTCAATTAAAATCGTGATTTTTTTTGCTATGAATTGACATTGCCAGTATCATATTTTGATTTTACACAGTATTTACATTGCCACACCAAATCTCAAAATCCCCGTTTGAGCAACTCTCCTAGGAGGGTGAAAAATACTTTGCGACCTTATCTCTTAACTACCAAATGTACAAAAAAATGTTTATCCGAATTGGTCTAGTCGTTACGGAAGAGTTCGTACACTACACCGTGACACGAGATTTTTATATACTAGATCAGGGGCCTCCAATTTTTTTTTTACGGGGGGGGGGCCAACATTGAGATACGCTTTGGCATCGTGGGTTAACATTTTTAGAGGAATAGATAGGTTAACAAATTGAAGAATGGATAACATTTATTTAGAACAATTAATGTTTGTTTATATATTACATTTTTTATTTTATAACGAGTTTTTCTATTATTAGTTAGTGTTAGTAATTAGTATAATATAGGTATAAATTACTATTTATAAGCTGTTACGAATAACACCGAAAGAAAAACTAATAAACTGATTTTATTTAATTAATTGAATAAATTAAAAATAATGAAAACTAAATGAAATTAATAATATAATAAATATATTATTTTCAAAACATTAATTAGCATGGTGGGCTAGTGAAAAAACCTTGAAGGGAAGGAGTTGGCCCGCGGGCCGTAGGTTGGAGACCCCTGTATTAGATGATTAAAAACTCAAAAATTTTACATGGACTTATAAGCTTTCCAAGGCTCTGGTTTCTGAAAATGATGTGGACCCTCCCCATGAAAAATTCCTAAATACGTCACTGGTAGTTGTAGTACTTAATTTGATCGATTGACAATTGTTTACATATTATTAAATATAGGTACGGGTGATCCATTTAAAACGTAAGACACTTGTTATTTAAAAAAACTTTTAAAGTTGATGTCAACTTAGGTACTTCTATATATTATAAAACCTGCATTTTTGACGATTATAGTTTATTAGTAGTTACAAATATTTCAAGTTTTTATGAGCGGAGTGGAGTGGTTCTGGGATACCTACCCCGCAAACTACTTGGCTCATCTAAACATTAATTATTAATATTTATAACTACACTGAACTATATACTTGTCGTCCGAAATTTAATTTTTATAGATCGAAATACTCCAACAAATATTCTGCATAGGAATGTGAAATTAATAATGTACTTTGTCATTATAAATGGCGGAAAACATAAAAAACTATAACGATAAAAAGTAATAAAAAATATAATTTTTTCCCTGAAAATATGTCCTTTTATAGTGACTTAAAATTATATACAAAAGAAATATTTTCAAACGTTATTGTTTTTTGAAATAATGATGAATGTCCTCCGTTAAACGGATCACCTCGAATAATATTATAATCACACGTCCAAGACTGCATCGTAAATCTACATTACATAAACGACAAAAAAAAAAGTACTTGGTGGCCTGGGAAGGTTTGATGGATGTATAGAGACGACGGACTTACAGGACGTGGTGGCCCTCCAGTGGACGAAGGAATCATCATGTGACGAGGAACTATATGCATCCAATGGTATCGAGATAGACGTGACTTTAGGACATTATATGAACATTATGTGAATTCGAGTAAAAAAAATAGACCTTAAACCTATACAGGTATATTATAATAATATTATGGTAAGTAAAAAAGTGTATGCGGTGTATAAGATATTATAATATTTTATGACAGTGCTGTGCACTATTTAATACGATTTAAACTCGAAATTATTTAAAGACGCATAGGTACTATTTTAATAGATATTGCACCCTCTACACGTAATTATATTGTGAAATAACACAAAAATAATTGTTGATTTTGAATATTATTGTGATACGAGTTTTTTCGTAGTCTGTATGATGTACGATGAACTCTACGAGTGCCTATAGGTATATTATGTCGTATAAAATTATGGAAAACTTTTAAGTCAGATTATATTTACTTACTCAAAAGTCAAAAGTAGTGAAAACGAATATTAATATGTTTCCGAGTTGCTACATAAAAAAATCTCCGTATATATTAGTACTTATATTATAGACCGTCCAGGTGCTCATCTTGGAACTCGGAAACCGTTACAATTTTTGTTGGTCCAAAAACCATTTTATATTAAAAAATTACAGTTCTCCAGCTACTACTTAAAAAAAAAAAAATCACTTAACTGTTGCGAGTGCCAGGATGAGTGCCTGGACGAGGGTTCTACGCATACCTATCTGTACCTAACGTGCGATACACACATTTATAATATCTATTTTATCGATTTACCTTAACCACTGGTCCGCGGATGACACTTCGGTGACTGCTTACCTACAATTTATATCGCTTAGGTACGATAGAAATTCGCGAACATACGATAAGGTTCATAGGTACCTAGCAGTGAGTCGCAATATTATTATAGTAATATATTATGGATAATACTTCGCGAGGAGCTAGCCCGATTAAACACTTTTTTTTTGAACGACTATTCTGTCGAGAGATCACAATACCTAATAACTATAATATTACAATATTATCTTACGCGAAACCTATACGGTTCGAACGCTATTCGTAAGCACACTGAACACACACTGAGATCGACGGCGGGCGTGTCGCCTATGATGATAGCAATATGATTATCGTCGTCGAATTATACCTATAATTATTATTGTGTTGGCCGTCGTCGTCGCGGACGCAAATCGCCATCACTCGTGTCATTAAAACGTCGTTATGACTGCAGATAATACGCGATCGTATAGAACAATATTCTAATACAGTAAGATGTATATTATGCACAGACGTCGATCAATCGAAACCGCCGAGTGTGTTTTTTCCATCAATTATCTGAATTATTGTGATAATAATATTATCTGTGCGGACCGCGATCGCCGGACAACGCAATGAGCAGCGCTATTATAATGACTGCGCAAACAATCACGACCGATATCATGAAAATATAAATGTCACCCACTTTTTCACGCATGTTCTATTATTCTTGTAAAGTATAGGTAACAATATATTGATGATGATGAATGATGATAATATTACAATATTATGTGGAATACAACCGAAATCGATCCACTCGTATAACTTAGGTATTATATTATCGTCGATGTCATCGGGCGTACGCATATTCTTATAATACCCCCTTAGAACGTAGAAAAAAGCACAACATTTTTTTTTAAAACGAATACATTATTATTATAATTAGTTAGTCTTTAACCGTTTCTCGTAAGAATAGCAAAGAAAAATACGGCTAAATACCTGCAAATGTATATAACTTATAAACTATATTACCATATTATATTGCAAATTAAATTAAATTATTTACTTATTGAAAATTGCCATTGAAAAAGTATTCAAAACCCGAATAGTTCGTCCATTTTAATCTTTCAATAATATGTAGACGTTTTCCGATCCAATTAAAGGTATCATAATCGTCACAAACAATTTTGGATTTACCCTAAAAAAAAGATGTCTAAAAATTGTTTGTATATTTTTTTAAAGATATTATTGAGATAATGTTTTTTGTAAGAGGAGTTTTAGGATCTTGCAAGTTCATGATTAATTTTTACACTGCGTATGTGTACACAATTAAGTGACAGTATAATGTAATATGTCCCTCAAATATTGTGCTTATTGTAGACAATAATTGTTTTCGGAATTCGACGATCGTTCTACAAAATACTGCGATGTTCATAAATATTGACTTCGGTTTTAATAATTCAATATAAAATTGTAAAAATATTGTGTCACGTAAATATTTTTCATTCACGCATACCGTCCCGTTTGAAGTTGGTCGGGACCAGGGAACATGTGGATCAAAAACGGGATGGTAATGTTTCAAACGGGACTCATGGTTACCCTACCGTGAACTAATAAAGTATGGGATGCATGGGGTTGACTAAATATTTGAATTGCTCGAATTTGTGCGTCGTATATTATTATTATGTCAGCATATTCAGTATTGTATAGTTGTCGACGATAACTCTCTTTCATTTCCTGAAAATTATGTTTATTCGGTATAATATTGACTCAAATCAATCGAAACCTTTGAATGTTTTGTTTTTTCCTCCGTATAAAGCAGAGAAGGACATAGTGGATTTATTTTATATCTAGGAATTCAATACATCCGCGGAATGTAAACAGAACTATCGGTGGTTTTGAAAACAAGACAACTACCAGTAAGGTTCAAAACAACTACTTTTTAAATTAAATACATAGGTACTTTATATTAGGTATGGGTGGTATTGTTATTATTGTGAAAGAGCCGTTATTATATATGGGCTTAGGCAAGGCTGGGTATGTTAATGATTTGTTTTAACTTAGTTAAGTTGATAATATAAAATTAACTTTTTAACTTAACTTAAACTTTTTAACTCGTTCACGCCCTTGGGCATGGGCACTTATTTCGATTGTCGGATTGTGCATATGTTAGCTTGCAGCAGGGTAAATGGTGTTATAGGTGTGATTGAAAGCGTGCGATTCCACATTATTTTAAGTTTTGAAAGAGTAAAAATAAATTAAAAAAGGCAGGCAAGTGGATGTCACTCTGCTGAACAGTAGGTTACAAGTGGGTCACTGTAATGGATTATGTTAAATTTGAATTCGATGATATCATTGTATACGTAAAACGATTCTGAGCGAAGTCAGTCTATGATATATTATACTAAGTATATTTGATGATATTATTGTGAAGCAAGTAAATTTACCTATTTACGTGGAACCTTGTTTTACATTTTTCAATCCTC